AATCTTTGAATATATTATTTTTATTTTGTTATTGAAATTTATTTCTTATTTCACTACGTCACACACAACAACAGGGTCACCCGCGGCCCAAAGATCAGCGTTTCGTGGAAGCTTCATCACGACAACGCCCCGGACCACACCCCCTTCGTTGTTGCGGACTACATAACTCGCATATGTGAGGCAACGCTTCCACAACCGCCCTCCAGTCCGACCTTACTCTGGTTTATTTCTGTTCCCTCACCTGAGAAGGGTCATAAGATCGCATTTCAAGAGTTTAGGCAACATCGAAGCAAGAACGACGAGAGCTCTAAAGAACTTTTTCGCCGAAGACTTCCTGAGAGCGTACGAGGCATGGAAATCGTGCTGGCAAAAATCTATTGTCTCACAAGGGTCATATTTTGAAGAACTTTAAGTTGCTATCTAAGTGCCGATCCGGTTAAGAAATTTGATTAAAAAATGCGACCCATTACTTTTGGAACATACTTTGTATAATATGAAATCTTTTATCGCAAATTCATATGATCAAACTTAATCTTCAAGACTGATAGACGGGGCATCGCTAAAGGAATTAAAAGACTGTGCACCGCCGCATGGCCTTCCAATTATGTCATAAAGGAGGGGTCCTAAATGCCAGATCCATATTCGGATTCTAAGAACGACCAAATTTCCAGATATTTTAAGAGGTCTCCTGGTTGCCGACAAACGAAAACAGGGGCTAGCGCAGTATCTTCCACGGAAAGCAAGCAACAATTTTAACTTCATGGAAATCCGCGCTCGAGAGAATAATTTCACCGACGTCTTTTTTAACGCCGTCAACGGACAGTAACGTAATTGAATAGAGCGAAGCTTCCATCGGTGCTCGGCAGGTTACATACGTAGTAATGGAGTAACTTACGTAAGTGTGGAAATACTGATTTTCAAATGAATGTGACCCTCAACTTATTATCAATCGAACTAACACATTATTTACATAAACATACAAAACAGTCACCGTTTAATGTTAGTTTCGCATACAAAACGATTAAGAGGGCAATTAAAGGAGTTAAAGTGAACACAAATTGGACTGCGTTTGTGAAGTTTTAATCTCTCAAACATTAGGGGAGAAAAATATGGAAGTTTTACGGAAATCAGGGGAAAATTAAATGAATTTGTACAAGATCAAATGAATTTTCGGAACTAATTGGGAATTATCTGCAGTTCTGCATTTAGCATTTGTGCTAATGCTGTACTAAAATTTCACTATTAGCATCAAAACCTGCAGGTATTTGTTACGGCGATTATAATTTTAAAATTCCAATAAGACCAATTCATATCCCGTATGGATTTAACACACAAGGCCATTGGGTGTTGGGAACTTTTGAACGAGAGTATTACATTATCAACTACTACGATACTAAGTCCAATGCCAGATACTGAAAGAACATATTTAAACAAAGCTGAGCATAAAGAAAATGAAGTATTTAAGAAATTTTAAACACACGTAGTGAAACCACGAGCAATAAACTATTCATTTATCAAAGATTTATTGAGGTTCTTTGCAATATTAGCCCGCGCAATGAACGAATAAATACGGTGTCGAACACTATGGTGTGGATGAGTGCTTGCAATGCGCTATCGATCAGCAGCAGAGGCAGGGCAGTAGTGCCGTAGCGGTCTTGGACCAGAAGACCGAGGTTTCGGGTCCCACCTCCGACATGGGTGTATTTGTGTGTGTATGTATGTATATATGTATGTATGTATGTAATGTATATGGCGTCCTTTCATCCCTCACCATCATCATCAATTCGTCCATACCCCCAGGTCTAACAAACTTGGGGGATAAAAATCGGGATTCAGCTAAAATGCTAATTCCTTCAGAAAGCACCTGCTGAAGTAGGACGCACGTGTGGTGCGAGTTGGACTGTACACGAAAAAAAAGTAACTTTTTAGTACAGTCGACTATTTGCTTAACATTTATTTTGCAGATAAAAATATTTTATGGCATTTTTTTCGAATATTTTACGAAATTTATGTTGGGGAATGACGCCTCACAGGGATGAGATCCCCAAGCTTTGATTGGTGATTCCGTGCGCGTCAAGTGATAAGGTCATTAGTACCCGAAGTGTAAAGTATGTTTTTTTTTTATCGCGGGAGGCAGCGGTGATCTGCCGCTGGACGGCGAGATCCGGCGCCGACCTATCCGTCAGCAAGCAGGGCTTTCCTCAACTAGATATCTCCTACCAGCGGGGCACCGCTCACGCCGGGGTAAACACAAAGCACCCGACTGGTCCCCGGCATGTGTGACAGTGTAGTGCATGTAAGAGTGCGTGTAAGTAAAAGGTGACTATAGGACAAGGAAGAGGAGGGAGAGATCGCGCGCGGTTAGTGGCCCGACGTTTAGGGTACTGCTCCGGCATTTGTCTGGTGTTGATCGGAGAAATCACGGAAAACTACCGACCAGAGCAGCTGGCCGCTATAATTTTCCTGACAGCATCTGAATTCGACCTAGTTGACAAGCTAGAGTTGAAAATCCTACCATCGTCGGGATCCAGAGCCTAGGACTTCCCGGTCAGAGGTACAGCAATGACATTGATGCCCTGAGTCACCTAAGCGGATGGGGCCTCCCAAGTAACTGCTTATTTTGCCCTTAGGTAAATCCGGCCCTAATCGGGAGCTGAGGATCAAATCTATTTCGGGCGGGCAACGCTACAAGGAGCGATTTTCCCGTCGTCAGACGGCTACCTAAACGGACCCGGGTCTCTTCACCCATTGTGAGGAGCGCCGGGTGACATGACTGACCGAAAAGAGTATTTGTAAACTAACCATTTTTTTTAAATTCTTTTTTTTTTTTACTTAAAATTATCTCCCGTTTTCCCGAAGTTGAGTTGTCAGTCTTGTGTGCACCTGCCACAGACAGTGGCGGAGGGGAAAATGCCTAAGGGAAATACCAGTGTACGTTCAGAAACTATTAGGCAGTGAGTTCACTGATATTAAGACAAGCAGTTTTTACATCGTAAGTAAATTATTATTAACAGGAAATACATACATAAATTAATAATGCCTCAGAGTTATTGCGCGGGACCGTGAGCGTGAATCCGGGTAGAGGATCGGGCGTTAACTCTTATTACATTTCATTTACTAAGCACTTGCCCGAGTTCTTCTACAATCTAAATAACTGTGGTGGGTATAAGAATTCCTCCGCCTGCATGCAGGTTAGACGCCCACTCGTGTTTCAGAGAGCATGTAGCTCACTCGCGTCCCGTCAGATAATGCTCGTCGGCAAGCGACTTGGACGGGGCCGCGCCACCAGATTCCTCCGCGCGCTCTCGGAAGGCGCATCCGCCGCCGCCGCCTCGCCTGAGACCGCAACCTCAGGAAGGGCGGGAGGAAGTGCGGTCGCATTCTGAAAGCCCCTCCGCGACGCCTAAGACTGGCATGAGCGAGGCTCCGCCGCCGACAGTGAAAAGATGTGGCGGCGAGTGACAGCTCTGCTGGTGTTCACTGTTCTACAGAGTGTGATTGGCACCCAACACTGTCAGCACACATGCAAGTGTAATTCCATTTCACCAACTAAAGAATCGCCACTGCGAGCAGATTGCAGAGAAGAACCTAGTGGGGAGTGGGCAAAGAATATCAAAACTCTCAAGGTAATTTGATAACAAAAAAAATTATGTATGAAAAATATTAACCTATTTTTATTATTATTGTCACTGAAAAATATATTCCGTTAAATAATTATACAGGATGAGTCATTTCCGGTACAACACACACAAACACACACACACACACACCACCACCACCACGATCTGCTAATATACTATCACTGGAACGAAAATCTACTTTTCGGATACTAGCTCCCAAAAAAGAAATTTGTGAGTTGGAACTGGGGTGCGTATAACGACAGCTGTGTATTAGCGTGGTCTCAACCGTCAGAGAAGTAACGCGCTACAGACTGCGACAAGATTCGAAAATCTTTCTCCGAGTACAGAAGATTCTGAAGCCAAAACGGCAAAGGAATTATTTATTGGAGATTTACGATAAGCACGATGATGTAGATTTCTTTCACTTTAAATCTGATTTATTCCTGTATTCGTATTTCCTTGAAAGATTTGTACCTTAAACTATTGTTTGTTATTTAGAAACCCTTCAACAAATACAACCATATTGTGAAATGGGCAGCGTCAATCGTTCTTGAAGAATCCTGTCCTCGTAGACGCGTGCAGCCTAAAAAAGAGGGGGTGGCCAACATTTTTGGGCCCCCTTTGCCATGAAGCATTTGTACTTACAAATGAAATATTTTACTAGTATAAATAAAACACATAATGACAATGAAATTATTACTTTAACAATACAATAAATAAATATAATTAATTTTACACTGAACTACTGACAGGACTGCCAGACGACTTGCAGAGCCTTTTCCTAAAACGCCATACTTCTAAATTGTTAGGATAAAAAAGTGGGAGCATCAGCGCTTGACCATATGGAAATAATATGTATTACTTGAGGCTATGGGGTCCCTTTCACAATTTTCAGGGTGACCGAACATCCCCTGCTCCCCTCCTAAATTTCAGCAAGGAATTAGTTTTAACACTACTTGTAGTACTGTCCTGTGGTAACACACTATTTGACATGTTAATCTTAATCCACTGTTTTAACAACATATTATCTTGTATTGTAAAACTGATTTATGTCTTTTTTAACAGATAAGAGTCAAGTTGCACCAACTTACAACAACAACTTTACAAGATGCCTGGAAATTAACAGACGCTGATTTTCGATTTTGCAATATTACTCAAATTATGTCAAATGCACTAGCAAAAGTGACTAATTTATCCAACCTTTGGTTGTCACATAATTTAATTGAAAAAGTGGATTTGGAAGCATTCTCAAAACTTGAGAATCTCAAGCGATTATTCTTGGATAACAACAGATTAACAACTTTCAGTACTAATATGCATTTATCACTGAAATATCTTGCAGACTTGTTTTTACAAAAAAACAACTTAACAGATATTCCACAGTTACCACCTTCCTTAAAGTATTTAGACATTTCAAACAATAAAATCACAACATTGAACACTCAACTAATGGTAAAAAAAAGTTGTTTTTTTTTAAAATTTTTTATGAAGAGTATAAAGATTTATTTCTTATTTACTCAATAATTATGAATATTATTTCCACAGGCAAATTTAGCATATTTGGATGTATGCATAAATCCTATAAATAATATAAAAAGTCATGAAATACTGAAGAAAATGAAATCATTATGTTTAAGTGGAAACATTAATTATATACCTGGGAACTTCAGTTCATATTTCATAAGTTTACAAAATTTTACTTTCATATCTTATCCCAATAAAACTGTTTTAAATAAAAAATATGACAAACGCTTGACGCTTCATAATGTTAATATATTTCATATAGGTAAGTTCAACGACTGAAAGCTGAAGGAAAAGAAACTAAACTTCAAAATGCTTCAATCCTAATAATACTATACATCACATTATTCTTTCATGCTTATTTTTTTAAAATTTTTTTGACTGTTCAATCTTACAGTTCTTATCTTTGCTGTCCAATGCTATTAAATACATTCAATAATATGATGAATTTTCCACAAAAACCAGCTCATTCTATTTGTAACAATTTTACAAGAGACAAAAATCTTGGTGTATCCATACTTGCAGTTTAATATCAACAGGATTTGTTCCCCACACATTGTACAACGGAATAAGCTAAATTTGAACCAAATTCCTTCAATCTTCTTTCAAGTTAAGAACTTCACAAAGGAATGTAGTTCAAATTCCCTGACAATTTAGATATAAGAGACCCGAAGTCGATAGACATTCATGTTTAATGCCTCGAGTTAGATCTTGGATCATTGTGTTGTTCCCTTGTCTAAAGAAATTTAGTTTTAGAATATATGCTTTGGATTGTTTTGGATAACCATCTAATTACGATCATAATTTCCTTGTTCAAGCTCTATCAATAGTTTTTCCAGAGTCTAGAAACATGATATATGAAGGTAGATTGTAAATATATCTTTCTGTAAAATACTTGTAAAATAAATGGGAAAATAACAGTAGTGATGGACATTAAAGTCATAACGTGAGGTACTGTTCTTTGAGAGGTAAAAGGTTCCAATCTTCCCAGGTATCAGAATCATAACATATTGGTAAGTTTGTGGCACCTGCTGGAATCTAATTTGTAGGCTGATTCTACTGATCAAAATGGTTTCTGTAGTTTTCCAGACAAATGCTGAAGCAGCACCCTCGCTGGAAAAGCACTCTAAAACATGGGTTAAGGAGCACATGAGATTGTTCCTCCCCCACTGCAATTATAGAAGATTATAAATACCACCACTATACCCTCTTCTGCACAAATATTATTGATTTTTGATTACATCAAAATATGTCTCAGTCAAATTGACCAACTGAAATCAGAGATCAAGATTTACAATAAGAAGTTCTCAAATGAATGTCTTGTATTACAAAAAATTCTCTGATGAAAACCGGAGGATAAGTTCTATAATAGGTTCAAGCAAAGAATAAACCTCTGAATGTTCATAAAAACATGTTTACATGACTTAGAAGAAGAATAGTTTTGATTATAAACTATTTATGTATTTGATTTTATCAATTATTTAGACATGTTATTTTAAAATATATTCAACTCAACTTTGATCTTCAACAATTCTCCCCTGGATGTACAATACCTTGAATACATTGAGCGCAAAGTAGCTCAATTAAGAAAGGCAATTGAAAACAATGAAAACATACACAATTTAATTATTACGCATTAAAACATTATGAATAAAATCAAATGCGCCAAACCAATGGTAACAGTAACAGTAGCATTAGACCAAATCTTAGATTTCATCAAAGATATTTCAAATTTTATTTATTTCAAGAGATGAGATAATGCAAATAAACAAAAATGTAAATGTTTTTCATGTGTACAAATCACACACACTCTTCACATACATTTTTTTTCTCTTCCTTTTTTTTTTAGCATACATCAATCAAATAAATTCAAATATGTTTTACTATGATTAATTATCATTATTTTACATTTCAGGTAATACAAATTTTCAAGACTTATTGTTTCTAAGACACATGAATAAAATGGAGACACTGAAATTACGGGGAGTAAACATTGAGGATTTTGGAAGTATAGATACAGTACTTCCCACTTTTCAGCAAGTGAAAAACCTTGACTTCGAAGATAGTCCTGCACTAGTAAAAACAATTTTAAACAATTTCCAAGGTTTACAGAACCTGAGCAATCTGGAAACAATTAGTTTAAAAAACTCAAATGTGGTGCATTTACCATGTGAACTTTGCCAAATGCAAAATTTTTTTAAAATTGATTTTCAGAACAACCCTTTGGACTGTGATTGTCGGGTAGGTCTACATAAATAATATTATATTTTTTGTCATTCTTTTATCAGACTGATACAACTTTTAACATACTTCATAGTACTAACACTTCAGAAAAACAACTTTTACATATTCAAAGAAATTCTACAACAATACAGATTTAAACATGTCTATCTTTTGTATCCTCAGATATCAGAAATAGAAGCATCACTTCCTAATCCTTTGAGGGATTATATCATACTACCCGAAAATACAAAATGTCAATCACCCCAACAAGTGTTTGGGTTGCAAATCTACAAATATGGAAGACACATCAACTGTTCTGGAACGGAAATATGTGGAAGGGAGAACTTTACATGCAAAATAATTCCAAATCTTGTAATAACTACATCAAGCTCATTCATATATGAAGATGACAATTCAATATATTATATAATCCTTGGTGTAGTAATAGCAATACTTGGAACAACAATAATTTGTCTCATTATTACTTCTATAATTTTGAGAAAAGAGAGACGTGTAGAACCACAACAAGAAATTCAAACCCAATCATTCCAGCAACTTCAGCAAACAGCATCCGAAGACACTTTACTCATATAATATTGTGGTCTACAATACTATTTCGTTTGAAACCCGTTATTATTAATATTTGAGTAGAGTAAGCATTTTCTTATAGAAAGGAATTCGTTAAACTGTTAAGTAAGAATAAAACTTACAAAATCAAATTTAGAATGAAAAAGGAGGCGTCAAAAAATTGAGGCCCTGATCAATACCTTTATAATCAAAACTTCACTACTATGAAATTCCCAGATGTTTCTAGTATGTTAGATTTCCATGCATAAGGGCACGGGTTCAATTCGCATAGGGAGCAAGTGAAATTTTCCAACATTGCAGTTGCTGGGCCTGAGGAAATAGGGAAGCAGCTGAATGCAAGTAATGGCATTTATGTAGGCAGAGGTGTTATTCATAGGGCCAGTTAATACTTCCACACTCTCTGGAAAAGTGCACAAAGCAATGACAGATACCTCACTCCCTCTACTTGCCTAGTGAGGATCCAAACCCAGCCTTCAGACTAATGGCTATAAAGACACTTCTACGATAACAAACTCTTTAGAATTCATCTGCTGTTTTCTGAGTACTTTAATATTTAATAATGCATTCTTAAACTGAAAATTGTAAATACAAAATCAATAACCATTAATCTACCATAAGTCAAAGATGCAAGATGCATTATTGAACATTGTGAACTATCTGGAAAGTTTGAACAGTGGAATACACTATTTCATTTGACAAATCTCCAACAGAATCCTTCTCAAATAAAGAGCAAGAAGTACTGTGAATTTTGGAGTGAATTGTGCAGCTTTACTAGTGATTTATTATATAATTAAACATGATGAGTAAATGATTATTCTTTTTTAGAATAAAAATATCTGCCAATGTCATATTGCCATGTCATATTGCATTATAGAAATAAGTGTTGCCTTAAAGAAAACTATATAAATGAAATAAGTGAAGTGTTTGTTAAGTGGACCCAGAAACCTAATGCCTTTTTTAAATTTATTTATTTAATGCCATACATTGTTGAAAAACTGTATTAGGCATACCTTAGGCCTGTGGGAATAGCTGCTCTTAGTGTCCCGAATCAAAATAAGGGGCCATCTGAATTCTTACTCAATGGATCAAGAGAAACATGACAACTTAACACAGGGGGCACAGATACAGAAAAATTTTACAATCTGCATTCAAGGTGACCTCCTGTGGTATTATATATTAAAAATGATAACATGACTTATCAAATTTACAAAATGTGCCAATAATTTCCATAAAACAAATACCATCTTTGTTTTTGATACTCTGCTGAGTCTGTTTTGAATAAATACAAATAAGCAGTTGCACAATTATATTCTTGAAATTTGATCTTGTGCACTGGCTTTAATTAACATTGACAGGTACAGTGTTGCACTTTAAGACAAGTTAAGCTTCCACAGATAACAAAATAATGGAAAAACGTTGATTGCTCAAAAATTTCAATGGATCATCTATATAAACCATATGTAAACTAATTTAGAAAAAAAGTGATTTTAGTTGATGCTTACAACTATATCAGTAAATCTGAATGTCATGATTGAGGACAGATAATCGCCTTAAATATGTTTCTTATTTTGGGAGCTTTACAACTGCAATTTTGTAAGTACTGTCAAATGAGGTAACTGAAGCCCTTTCAGTTTAACTTTGGCAAACAAAATTCACGATTTGTATTTTTGAATCTGTTTTGATGTTGAAACATTCAAATATATCTTCCTCTGGTCGATAAAGGTCAGTACTGAGCACATTCTGGAGTGCATTGGATGAATTTCTCCCATATAAGGGTAACTCAGTTATTCACGAAACAGCAGTAATTTCACTTTTATTTATCTTCAGGGAAGGTCTGTGTGTTCAGACCACATACTAAGTGATAAAAATCAGTGAGAAAGAAAGATATACCTATATAATTTCTTTTTTTAAACGTATTTCTATCCCAAATAAACAGCATTTTATAGAAGATTTTTTATTTGCTTTTTTGCTAGCTCTGGGCCGAAGTATTTTTAACTTACTTTTATCATTAAATATCAGTTTACAATGAATATTATTACTTATCCTGAAAATGCATTGTAACAAATGGCAAATATTTGATTGTGACATTCCATTTTCAAAATTAATTAATATGCATTAGCACAATTGCACCATCTTAGTTACAACAGTTTCTCAAAACAGATCCTGTCTAATTTGATTGTCAGCCTACAATGAAGTTGTTTCATTTCATTCACCTTCAGCCTTCAATTGTTTCATATATATTACTTATACTTATTTTCGATAATATGAAGTAAGAAAAATGCTCTGGACAGATGTTAAGACATCAGGGGCCTGTCAATATGTAAATTACACAAGAAACATCTTGAAATGACTACAAAACAATACAGCATGACCAAGAACACAAGCAGTTTGATTTCCATGACCAAGAACACAAGCAGATAGATGAAGGGGTTCAAAATGACAGTTTTCTGTCCAACCAGTTGATAATGAAATCAACTTCACTATGCTATTGTCAGACAGACAACATATGAATATCATGCAGATTTTCATAAAATTGCCCTTATTTATTGTAATTTCACCATTTTTTCATACAAAGGAAACATTATTTTTATCTTTTGTTTAGTCAGTCTGAGACGTATAAGTCAAAAACTCACAATACTGCCTTCAGCACAAGAGGTTCCTCTTTACATGGGTTGTGTTTTTTCATATAAAAACACCAGATGACAGTGTCATCAGTGATGTGCGAACACTTGCAATGTTGTCCAATCATTGGCAAGAAATACTTCCCATTTAGACACACACTAATATATATATATTTAAGCCATGACAAGTTTAAAAACCTTTGACTGGGCTAAAGTTTCGGTTTTGGAGTAATATTAGCACTACAGATAAAAAAACAATAATACTGTTAAAAACTTTCTTAAATTTCTATAAATTTCTACAGCACATCCTAATTCTTCACAATCTGCAGGAGAGGATGTACTCAAAAAAGACTTAACTTCATAACTACAGCAGTACGTACTTTAATACATTGTAAAAGTAAAGTATCTGACAGTTTACATAAGAATTTCATTGAGATGACTTCAGTTTTGAGAATTTTAATTTAATATCAATTGTTTAGAATATCTATAACAGTTTTAATTATTGCTGTGAAGTTTTTCATTGTTTTCTTGGTGCAATTCTTTCAACAAAATTATTCTCAAACATGTAATTCTTCCTAGGTAAATGTGCTATCTTAACAATGATTAATCCAGTTTGTTAACTATTCAAACGATAAATAGCAAGATGAACTTAAGGGTGAAAATCATTAGACTCTACAAATGCAAAAATTGCACAACATTGTGTGACTTCACTTCATGATTTGAATCAATGTGATAAAGGGTTTGAGATTGAATTCTATTTTAAAGAAACAAATAAATGTTATTTTATCACATAAACAGGAAGAACCGCAACCTCTTTTATAATTACTTCTATTTCTCTTCATTTGATTCTTATATGGATCTCTTTTTTATACTTCAGTCTCAAAGAAAAAAATCAACACTGGATAAGAATGACATTACAAATTTTCTCTAAAAGAAAAATAGTCCAAATTCGTAGAAAGAATAGGTTTGAAAATGATATTGTTAATAACTTTAATAATTAATAAATTGAATGCAAAATTTTGAGTATAAACAGAAAGATTTTCACTGCAAATTTATTTAGCTCAAATTTATAACACTATTTGTAGAATACAGTGTGAATAAATGTACTACACAAAATGTAAAGGCTGTGTCTGTGTGTGTTTTCTTTTTTTAATTTTTATTTGACGTATACCATGAATGCCACAAATTATCAAGTGAATCATCAAATCAGAGTGACAATGTTCTATCAGACCTAAGGGAAATTTAACAGGTGAGCCTTTTGAAGGTTTGGAAGTCTTTAATGATATCACACAAAATGGAATGTCTCTTGGCTCATAGGGAGTTTTATGAAAGTTTGATTTTAAAATAGTTTTAATGTGATTTATCTTTCCACTGAGATTTTAAGTTTCTACACAAGTCATTTTCACTAAATATGTCAGAATCATGTCATTCAAAAAGACAATATCACAAACAACTGATGACTAACATCACATACTGTCTTCTCAAAATCCATTCCTTATAATTAATCATTAACCTCTTTAAAAAGATGCACAAAATAGGCTAACCAGTAATTATCTTCAATAGTGAACTACTAAAATATTTTCACCATGAAATATCAAAAACTTGGTTTGATACAAAACACTCAATAGTTTGAATAATCTTACAGACATATGCAAATATTAACTTAATTTAAACAATATGCCTTAAAGAAAAAGACAATTATTTTAAGAAGGAAATGGTTGGTAAGGAATTAAAAACAAAAGGTGCTAGAAAGATGTATTATTCTTTCTCAAACATAACGCTCTTAATTAAAAATTATATAAATTACGGTTGCTCTAACTTGAATTTCTGAAGATATGGGACATATAAAGAATAAGACATAACCTTACCTCTTGAAACTGCAGTTCCAGTTGCTCCAAAAACACCAAAAGTAGGAGCGGTGGACGTAGCTGGAAAGCCCGTAGCGCCCCCCTGAGTGAATGCCATGAGATATGTTTAAATTCTGTTAAAAAATACAATTAAATTATACAAGAAATTCGAACTCAGAACTTTTCGTCAGCCACACTTATCACATGCCGCGCTCACATCACAGCTCGTTTGCAAGGTTGTCAACACTGTTACAACATCCGTCTGCCAACTCACTAAACAAAATTCCCTAAAATCAAATTGAATTGGCAAGATATTTCTGATTTGTGCAACCTACAAAATGCTTTACGGTGCTCTCTGGTGTACCACAACAAACAAAGGCCGCTTTTTATTTCAAAAAATTAAATCAAATTTCGATGTGCACTTCCGAAAATATGGAATATTATCTCGAATTATATGAAACCAGTGGCGGCTCGTGGTCATGCCATAAGGATTTGCAACGTCCCTCCTCTCTCTGCCTTCTGTCTCTCAAACAGACATATGTTGTGGTGCTGTGAAAGAAAAAGCAGGCAACCCTCACTGCTGTTGAAAGATACCGTTCAATATGCAGACTTCACAGAATGCTCTGTGTTTTATCTTTTCGAACAGGCCTTTATTCCTCGAAAATGTGCGTCACACGTTGGTCAAATCGTCAGGAAATCGGGACAAGCAGCATCCGCAGCAGAACAGCGAAAAAGACAATAGGAAGGAAAGCAGTTTCTCATGAAGACAGAACCGGACCTAATCAATCAGTTAGGAACGGAATCCACCACGCAAACAGCCAACTGCTTAAATTCACCGAGGCACAACATCACGCGATGAATTTTAAGGACAGTTTTCTGGAAGTACGGGGGCTAGGTAGTTTACACGATGATGTACCTGATCTACTTCCCCAAGAGTCGGAATAAGAGAAATGGAGTAAACGACGAAGTCCCATATAATTTGAAAACGGCTGAACGGTCAGAAGATAAGAATTTTACTAGATACCGGAAGTAACATTCTCGTTGTGTTACATGCTTCTTATGACAGTTCCAGAAAACCCCAAGCTAACATTCTGAATTTTTTAACGAAAAGGGCGCAAGCATACATGGCAGACTACCACAAAGCGCGACTAAATCGAAGCAAATTTTACTTGAGGTACTCGAAGCGAGTTGTTTTGTCGGAAGATGCTTGACGTAGGACGTACTATTTTGGAATAGTCAAGATAAGGGCCACAATTATGACTGAAGTGCACTGATATTTCGTGGAAACTATGGGCCCGTAATCGAAGAGATGCTTGGGAGGAAAACAAACACGAGAGTAGAAATACGCCCAAAAGTAGTCCCTCAATTTGGACATATAAAACTTATTTTCGGGGAGAAGTTAGGTGCAGTTTTTGAGAAAATGTCTTTTGAGCGTTTCTGAAAACGTGCCATTTTCAGGACATTTACACATGAACACGTTTGAGTATCAAGTAAATTTCATTAGAGTTCATTTGAAATATTTGTGTTCGCAAATACATTAACATAAAAAAACATAAGGAAGTGAGAAATTTTTAAAAAATTGCATGTCTGTAATTTTACAAATATCAAAAGTTTTAATTAAAAAAATAGATTTAGATTTATTTAGTAAAAAAACATAAAAAACTGTATGTGACGTATGGAGGACAAGATCATCTGCGCACTTTTTCTTGAGTTCTAGAATCCCTTCCCATCATATTAACTATAAACAGTTGAAAGATGAGTAAAAGTTTAAAATAAATAAATTAAAATAAGTTTTAAGAAAGCGCAAGATTAGAAATATTTGAAAAAAAAGAGGATATTTTCGTTCCCGAGTTATAAAAAACTTATTTGCTTCGGTAAACGAATTGCAAGTATGATTTTTCTGCATTGCTAACGAAATAGTAACTCACCCTTACCTCTCCTCCTACCATTACAAGCAGAAGGAGAGTTCAACAAAACGTGCGCATAGTGAAGCAACATTTACGTCCAGAAGCAAAACAAGGGGCCATCTCCGCATTTGCTCAATGGATCAGGGAAACTGGACACAAATCTGATCGAGATGGGGATCATTGACCTTGAAGCTGAAGAACATTATTTGTTACAAACATATTAAGTCTTTAGAAAAAATATACAATAAAATTTAAACTAATTAAATATAAATCACTGTTTTGTTAAAATAAACATTATTTTTCTTTTCGATAATCAGTATATTCTCTAATTGTATGGAAACAGTTATGCAGCTGAAACTATTTTACTATTAACTTATATCGGTGAACTGACTTCAACTGTCAACTGACATCTGGCACTGCATTGTAAAGTAACGCACATGTATTTGTATGTGGATGTCTGATAGTAATCTGTTGATACTGATACTTAATGAACGTGACTTTCAATTACAATTACAACGCGTGTTATAATTATAAATATAGGTATTGCATGAAAATATGTTCCCACTGTTAAGTACGTCATTTTTGACAAATATTACAAATTTATAAATAAATAGGCAAGGCAGTGGTTAGATTCCAAACTCAATGAAGAGAGGCTTGCAGGGATCACGCGGATGTCATTTTTTCATTATTTGAATAATTTTCTTTTGGAATCTAAAGGTCTGAGTACCACGTGATGGGTTTCCCCAGAATATTATACCTTATCTCAGGCGGGAATGTACATTTCAAAATACACGCAATGAGCTGCATGAAGGCTGACAGAATTTGAAATAATTTTGAATATGTAACTTAACGAACTTAATTTTGTTATATGTACATTATTTGAGATTCGACTGAATTAAAAGACCTCGAAATTTTGTTATCTGAACTTCAGCTAATTGCATATAGTTCATTTTCAATGGAGCATGCGATTGCTGATTTGAAATGCAAAAATGAATTGAAACTTTCGTCGTTAACTATTAATTTGTTATTACAAAACCAATTTGAAACTTCTCAAATCGTACTATTTATTTTCTTTTTCAAAGAATATTCGTGTCATCGGCAAACAGAATCGTTCTTCCGTTTTTTAATAGACGATGGTATATCATTTACGTATAACAGAAAGAGGATACGACCTAAGATCGAGCCTTGCGGGGACCCGGGTAATTTTGAATTTCATTTTTGTTCCCTTTTTTTAAAAAGTGGCTTAATGTTTGCTGTTTTGAAAATATTTGCAACTATTCCTGTGCATAAAGAAGCATTGAAAATGTGAGTTAAGGGACGTATAATGGCAGGTACACAAGTTTTCAATAAACAATCCGGAAATTCATCTAAACCAGAAGAATATTTTTGGTTTACTGAATATTCTAAGGATTTCGTTAGAAGAAGTTTCGGATATAAATATCGTGTCGAACTTTTTTGAGAAGGTAATGATGTTAAATTTTACGGTTTTAGTCCCTCCGCTGTTGGTTGATGAGATTTGCCACTTTTTTCGGATTACTGGCTTCTCTTTCATTATCCTTTAAAACAACATTCTCAACTAAGTAATGAGATGATGTGGTCGTATTTTTTACGATATTCCACATTGCTTTAGTTTGTTACTAGCGTTCAAAGTATCCTTATTATTTTTCATTATTTTTGCCTAAACTATTACTTTCCTTAAAACTCTTTTGTATTGTCGGAAGAAGACTTGGAAACCGGGTGATACCTTATGATGTTTAGAAATAAAATAAAGCGCACGTTTGTTTTTACACAATGTTCTAATATCTTGTGTGATCCAAGTATTATTTTTCCGTGAAATATTTAATTTTCTCTTTTTGAGAGGAAAGCATGCGTTAAAGTGAAATGAAAGATTTGAGAAAAATATATTATATTATTCATTTGCGTCAAAAATATTATAAACTGTGACCCAGGATTCCTTCTGGAAGTAGTCCGTAAATTATTTTATGTTAACTTTAGTGAATGCTTTAGCACATGCGTGTGTAATTTGTGTCAGTGTTCATGTTATTAGTAATTGCAAGAATTTGTGCGTCATGGTCACCGTAACCTAGATTAGTAGTTTTTATTTCATATCTAGTTGTGGTTTTGTTAATTATAATTTAATCTATTGCTTTTTATGATGTAAATGTATTCCCTGGAGGTACATTCATTGTAATATCTAAATTAAAAGAATGCAGTAAATTGAGAAACTGCTCTTTTTCGTGGGATTCGCTCAGAAAATCAATATTGAAATATCCACATATAAGAATGAATTTAAAAGATAGATTACTAATTTTGTTCAGAGTTATCTCTAGATTTTCTAAGAAATTTAAATTATCCAAAGCTCCATTTATTGCAGGTCTGTAGGTGCAAAGTAAGATAGTTTTAAGCGTAGTAAGATGTACGACTGTCATTTCAAAAACTTTTCAACTGCATTTAAATTTAATTCAGACAAGAAGATAGAAGCAATATCATTTCTTAAATAAATAACGAGCCTCCGTAAGCAGGGCTCTTATTTGATTCCCTCGTTCTACAATACGATCCTGCATGGGAAAAACTAGGAATTTGGAGAGTGTTTAGATCATTATGAGACAACAAATGCTTTGTAAAGCAAAGAACATCTATTTGATCTGGTTCACACTGCAGTACTGCATCGATAGTTTCAATTTTATTTCAAAGAGATTGCACATTATGATGCATTATTTGAATTTTTTTCATATACCTACAGGGATGTTTCTCTGCTGCATTTAACTGTAGACGTTATTTATTTATCTAATTTTTACCTTGAGTGCGTAATCGAAGGAAATATCGTGCCCCAGCAGAGGTGAGGAAGGAGGGGCGACGAATGTGGACAAATAATTAATGGGAGAGGTAGAACAAGGTTAGGTTCAGAAGACAAGGTAATTGGGTCCAAAGACGATCCGGAAAATGGAAGAAAACCAGGAGATGTGGGTGGGATGGGTGTTGGGCACAACACTGCCGAGATTGTGAAAATATGTGTTTTGCAAGCTCGCAATCGAGTGCTTGTTTTCCGACAATGTTTAGGTGAAGACCATGCCGGATGATGTGTTTTTCTGAGAGAAAGTTTAGCTCAAATAATTTAACATTTGTGTCTCTCAGATGCAGTTTCAATTAGTTATTTTCGTGTTTAATTTCTTTGCACAGTGTTGGTTTATAGTACCAGAACGGCGGCACGTTGTAGTTTGCCAACATGTTGTTCAGGTGTAAAGTGACCACCTAAATTGATGTCGTTCTGCCCTCCTATGATGATGACTACATCCTGTTTGGTAAGAGTTTTTGTGTGGGTGTCCAACTCACTGGCATGTCGGCA